CCATCTATCTTATGTGTCTCAAGTAAAGTTATAACAAAAATATAATATATCTTGAGTTTTACTTTGTTTTTGTTTTGTCATTATCTTTTTTCATTTAGAAGTTAAAATAGAGGAGGGTACAATTTTCGTCCCCGCTGTATATAATACATTCGTTTGTATTACCTTTTCTTTGACAGTTTTTCGAAAAAACAATTAAAAATTTTCAACTTATCTTCAAAAGAAACCTTAACAAAGCAGAATGAATTAAATATAATAATAGATTGTACAAATTTTATATAAATATTTTTTCTTATAAATCACTATTTATAAAATCCTAATAACACAAGTATCATTTGTTACCATTTAATATATATAGAATAGGTGTGTTATAGTTAATTTTTTGACTATCTCGAAATCTAATATGTTAAAATTTTAAGTTACGATAAGCAATTGAAAATTTCAAATGAACAAAGAGAAAATTATTCGAGAGAGCGTGGGAGAGCTCGAGAGAAGCGAGAAATTCTCGTCGAGAGATGACACTCTCTCGTCTCGTCTTGAATCAAATCTGTTTTCGAGATAAAATGTCTCTCTTGTCTCGTTCGAGACGAAACAAGACGAGACGAGAGACGAGAATCTCTCGTCTCGCGTCATCACTAATTAATCGGTATATTTAAAAATTATTATGGAATATATAGAGTAATCTACAACTTCAAAATCGATCAAATTTATATTTTTTTAAATGCATTTTATTCTAAATTTGAATTCTCCTGACCTTTCCCTTCAAGAAAATATCAGCATATATGAGGTTACATTGGGTATTTTAGAAATTTAAACCAATGTCATATGAAATTATTCCATAAATTAATTATTGATCTATTTAGTAAATCACCCTGTATCTAATAAAATAGATAGTTCTGCAAGCGTTAAAAATATAACAAATAGAAGAAAGTCAAGTTAAATCACTCATTAATAATTGGCCTGCCTACATCGATATTTACTAATCATCCTGTATCCTGTGTATACATACAATAAGTAAAATATTTTGTTTTATCTTTAAAATTGGTACCTATACTTCTAACAACAATTTATTTTTTAGTAAATTATTTCAAATTTTGAATAATGGATATGCATAAGTTCATGTTACCTACAGATGAAATGATAAACCCATGAAATTTTTAAAAGCGTATAGAGAAAAACAACTAGAAGATCAAAATGAGGAAGAACCACATTTGAAACAATAAAAGTAATTATCAAAAATATGTTCTTACTTATTTGAAACTCACCCTGTACAGGACAATTAGCCACAATAAAGTAAAATCAATCAATACTCCTGGGTAGCTATTCTTGAATTCGAGGGAGTAGAAAACCGGTTTCTCCTCTTTATCTGCAACGCAAAAAAAATGTATTTTTGTCTCATTCTTCCCTCAAAATTTCTACTCCCTGAGATTCAAGAATAGATACCCTGGGGTAAGAAGTGGTAGGTAATTATTCTTAAGTTTAATCTTGAAAAGGATTTAACAAATGATTCCATGGCCAGTATTCTTATCCAAAAATGTTCAACAAATTATAGGATTCAAATGTTCGCATAGCCACTATGTCTCAAGAATGTGAGAATTAAAGATTATTATCCAAAAATGTCCAATCAATTATAATTTATTATTTTTATTTATTAGTTATAATCTATGTGAAGATCCTCTACGTGATTTAGTCATTAGTAACATTCTCTTTGTTTTTCGGTCTTATGTCAAATCCTTTTTATATGCAATAAATTTACCTTTCGGGGCCTCAGTTTTGACAAGATGCAACCACCAATTTAGCGTTTATCGAGTTTTAATTTATAGCAAGCAAGCAATAATAACAGAGAGTGAATTAGCAAAAAAAAAATAATACTAATAAAAGAGAGACAAATATTGAAAATCTAAAATGCAATAACATTGATTTATGCATTCAGTAATCATTCACAATGGTGCATGGTACACCTAATGCAAGCTAAATCTAGATATTTAGAATTTAGGGCTAAATTTTTATCAAATATTTTGTTTCAATATCTAAAACTAATGCCTAATGAACTTACCTTAAGTAAAGTAGAAATAATTTTTCACATTTCTAGCACGAAGATAAATCACTGTTTTTATTTTTGAAAAAGTTTCTTCATTTCACCGTAGGTAGCCACCATCTTTTAATAATTTGCAAGTAATTTTTTATTGAATATTTGAAAATCATAGCAGGCGACTTGATTTGATTTAAAAATTATTGACATACGAGTTGTTAAAAAAAGCACAGAACACATACCTTGAAGAAAAGCACAGAACAGTTCTGAGGTTTCCTGTTCAGTGAACTGTTCCAGTGTTGTCAGACGTACAATAATTATCCTCATTATCGTATTTGTACGATAATTACAAGCAGGGTACGATGTACGATCCATAGTGGATAGATAAATGTAATAATAATGATATTATAACAATAATTATATTTTATTGCTTTCATGCCATTTTCTGGGCGTGGTAATTTCAATTCGCGATTCAAACTAAGCGATACGCCCTCTGGAGGATATTTTTGTAAAAGGTCGGATTTCTTTAAATGTTGCCAACAATAGCAGAATTCCGCTTCGTACACGAATTTTTAGCAGTGGAAAGACTTTTTTAAGTTGAGAAATTTTTGTTTAGCAATATGTAATCATATTCTATATTTATTTAATATATATAAATATATTATGCAACGATCATGTAATAACCATTACATGAGAGTTGCATACACTATATTTTCTACACCCGATAAATAATCAAGAACTATAAATATTATATTTAGGTATATTTGTATTGAACACAATAACAGTAATTACTCGTATTTCTATAAAAAATTCTCCAAAATTGTAATTAATGGTATTACCTCGGGTAATACCATTACCATAGATTTTTGGGGCAAAATATTTTGTACTGCATTTTCTGCTTTCTCCGATATGTGTGGAGGGGTCGATGGTAAGTCTTCTATATCGCTGATATCAGATATTTTGATAATATAATTATCGAAGTTTAGCTATCTACGAAAATTAAATACGTACTGATTTTGACAACTAAAACAATTACATAGGAACCTACGACAAACGTCAAATGCACAGCATGATTGATTGAAAAATTATGGGTTTCTATGCGCTAGTTCAGTGATGATGTAATTATGGTTCCACTGACAATTAAAGTGACAGTAGATTTTTTTAGTGGGGTTTATTCATTTTGTTTACCTAAATTATATCGTTTTTTCACTTTTATAAATATATTCCTAAAGTAAGTAGATAACATGCATCAAATATACAATCGTTTAATTACCAATTACATACCTTTAAACTATTTTTTATGACCTGTAAACTGTAAACAATATTTTGATGTTTTTGTTAAAAGTTTGGTTAGAATTAAATGTCAGTGGAACCAAAATGACATCACACTGAACCAGCGCATTGATTAAAAATCTGTATCGTTATGAAAAATCTGTATTATAATGGGTATCATTATGAAACGGATTATGGGCACATACGTGCATTATCACAATACAGGTGTAGAGAAAAATTTCTATAAAACAGATTTAATCATATTAATTTTTTCTTTAAATTTCAGTTCATTTATCAATTTCTTTTTAAAATCAATTCATTAGTTGGCAACATTGTCGTGATGTTCACTGTTTATAGATAAATTTGTATTATTATAAATTTGAATTTTTTTCTTTGTTTGTGAGCTTTACATTTGTTTATTTAATTTTTTTTCTTTACTTGTGAGCTTTACATTTGTTTATTTCTTAGTGTTCCAGTGCCAAACAGAAATACATACATACACACATTTCTTAGTGTTCATATTAATAATGAAATTTGCGAATAAGCCACCAGCAAATTGCAATTGTTGCAATGTTGTGATAATGGATAAATTTCAAAATCAAAACGTAAGTTTTTATTATTTTCCAAGCGTTATAAGTTCTAAAATTTTTATTTCTTGCGATCAATGGACATGTACCTATCTACAAATTCACATTATTAAGATTTAGCTACATGCTATGTGTAACAAACTGCATTATGACAATTTAATTTCGGTTTACGTGGTTACAAAGTATCAAAAAAGATACAAAGTTCATATAATATAAGAACAAGGATACTTAAATTTAAATATTAATAATAAACATCAGGTACCTGATATTTCCTTTAAACCACAAAATAAATGATATCTTGTCTTTAATTAACAAATAATTCTAGCGTTTGTGTAGCATCCAGATAGCAGAAAATTCCCAAAAAATTAATCCTAAACACATGGTAAATGTTATATTTAAGACGAAAACAAAACTTAAATTAACCCTAAATGAAACTCGAAAACACTATTATAAGGAGAATAATATCTAAGAGTTAAAAAATCATAAATACAAAAACCCCCCAAAACTAACAAAATAATATCCTACTTATAGAGGTGACAAATGACAGGCGCGCGAAAATTAATTTGAATCGCGAATTTGAAGGAATCAGGGCCGTACCAAGGCACATTTTGTTGGGGTAAGATTTTGGGGAGGGTATCTCCTCCCTCCTTGGGCTCGGCCCTGGATCTATAGTAGGGTGTATTAAAGAATCAATTTGGAACCAGAGGTCATAATAACGGGAGATGACTCAAACTCAATACTAAATTATGTCCAATGCAACTTGACGTTACCTCCAAAATTCCACCCACCAGTAGAAAAAACAAAATTATAATTCGAAGATTACGGATATGGTTATCTAATGGCTTCTGATAATCCTCTCTTTGCCTGATTGACTGTTCACAATGTTATGCAGACGCTCACAGAAGCCATAAACTGGGCAACTCTTTAAAAGATTTCGTAAACACGGACAGTACGCAAAACTTGTAAACTTTCTCAAGCATACAACTTAATTTAGATTTTAGAAAATTGAAGTTGTATACATAATAAATTAACCGTAGCTGTTGAGACAGATTAATTAAAAGAAATAAAATAAAATTCAAATATTATAAGTATATTTTATTGTTAAAGCTGTACAAAAAAATTAGATTATTTAGTTGTATACCAAAGTTATATAAAATCTAATATAATAAATATACAAAAGTTACAATTCCTTAGACATTTATAATCTAGGCCACTTATACATTGTTTTATTACAAGATTCCTACGTAATGTATATGTTTATAAAAAAATCATTGGACATGGATGGCATTTTATTAAATGATTGTACATTATTTTAAGTAATACTAGCATCGTGAAGAAATGAGGTTATTTTCTACACTATGACACTATATAGAAACAGAATACAGAATAGATAAAATTATAAGACGTTAATAATTGTTTTTCACAAATAAGTGTTCCTTAAATTTGTTCAATAACATCAACAATTTTGGCATCCATTATTTATACTAAATATTTTTGTTCAACAAATAGTAATATGACTGGCATCTGATATTTGTATTTAATAAGATTGATCAGATATTTGAGAGAATAATAACTATGTTCACATGTGTAGTGCTGATGATCAAGTATCCGCAATTGTCCCAATGCAAAATAAAAAAGGAAAGGCAGAGTAAGAAAGTATTTTTATCCTCATGTTGATTCCAAAACTCTATTAATCTTTTAATACATAAACAAAATATATATTATTTTACTAAAAAATTGCACAAACCTCGTTGTTTATATATTGTACTTCGATTAGTGAGAGTTTTAAAAATAAAGAAATAATACTGATAGTAGATCCATAAAAAAGCCTTGAAATGTCAGACAAACTATAAAAAAATACTCCAAATTATTCTATTTAAAAATGTTTGCATATATTTTTAATCTAAACACATAATAGTATAGGAGCCCATCGCTTTTTTTGAAAATGTTCTATTCGATTGATAGATAATTAAATTTTATTCTCTATACCTGGTTGTCGATCATCATCCTTTGCGTTAAGGATGGCAGATACAGTTGAAAGTGACATTGACGTTTTTATACACACATCGCTTTTTTAGTCAAACTGATACCGTGCGAAAGCGTTTGCAAAATTTAAGCTGTCACGATTTTGTGTGTGAGTTTCAGTCAAAGTTGGATTGCATTTTCATGTATTTAATTTATAAATAGATATTTTAACTGTTGTTTTCTCGTTTTTATTTTTAATTATATTAAAAATGTCCCTGCAAATCTAAAGCAGCAGGTAAGGTAAATATTTTTAATAAAACCAAATAAAAAGAGAATTTCGCCGTTTTTTGTTGTTTATTGCAATTTATAAAATTATTGGCATTTAAACTTTTCTTCCGACCATGCTCTGATCCTTTGGGTCTATCTGCCTTATTTGGGTCTTGTTATGACCCCATTTGTCCTTAAAACAAGAAATATTTGATGAAGGGGACAAATCTCCTTTACCCAACTATAGGGACCCCTATGATCAAAGATAGCCGTAATGAATCATTAAGTAGAGAATGTACTAGAAGTAAATTCGAGAAACTGCTGGACGCGCCTGTCTCTAATAAATAGTGAAAACAATTTAGCACATACACCAATTTATATATAAATGGGCTGTGTTTCACATAGGGTTGTCACTTTTTTGAAAAGTGAATAAAGGTCTATGCTGAAACAAAAATATGGGGTTTCTATTATTTAAAAAGTTTTAAAAACTTTTTTAAATTGTTTGTAATCGTTCCCAAGTTTTATTAAATTTTGACTGCACCCGAAGATGGAAAAAAATGTTTCCGAAACATATGTAGTGCTGTGTTAAAATAAAAACATGACCGAATAAACCTGGGAAATTTTTATTTATATATTATTTATTTTGTTCAAACGACCTTGTCGGGACATGTTATAATAACCAACCTCAAATGCAATTTCATATAAATAGGTATGATTATAGTGTGTAAATATTTATTAGTCTCTTTTAGATAAAACAATTAAATAGTAATTATTTTGTTTAACCCTTTAAGTCCCACTGCCGTATTTCGACGTCATAAAAAAATGTTCTGAGTCCCAACCGCCGTATATATACGTTCATATTGTATTAGTGGTATTTTCCCAAAGCCGCATATCTATGGCAGTATAAAATTTTGGCTCTCAGTAGTCTCAATATCGTATGAATACGTCGGAACTTGTTGCTCGTTTTTGCCCAAAGCCGCAGAATTGCGATATGCAAGATATAACACACAGACCCATTGCCGTATATTTGCGTATGTCGACAGATCAGAACATGTTTTCGTGCAGTTTGGCCGCGTGTTTTCCTTGGCGATTGGTTCAGTTTTATTCAGCGTCGCAATAAGATTAGTTGTGCGTGCGATATGGAATCGAGTTCGGGAAAACAAACACATGGTTCCATACATAACTATAGTGAGAGTAGAAACTTCTGTGGCTTGACAGAACAGGAATACGAAGAGCCATTTGTAGACAGTGAGAGCGAATACGAACCCGATTCAGACCAAGAGTCGGTAAGCGAAGAGGAAATAAATGAAGTAAAATTCGATGACGTCGAAAATGAACCTGAAAATAACGCAAAAAATTTTGGAAGACAAGATGAACTCGAAGTGCGACCTCTGCAACAGGAGCTACCTCTGCAAGATAACTTGGCCCTCAAAGAACTCTTGTCTCTCGAATGGAGCACAAATACTTTCATTCCCAAAATATATGCTTTTGATAATTCTGAGTCTGAGGCACACTTGGAGACAATCACAGATAAGTCAGATGTTCTCTTATTTCCTTCTATTCATGGATACAGAGTTAGTAGAGCTAATTGTAGCTGAAACCAATAGATATGCCTCTGAGATTTCTGCAACGAAAAAATTGAAGTGGAGTGAACTTAGAGTCAATGAATATTACGTGTTACTGGTAGGGCGACACGGGAAAAACAAGATAAGAGAAAATTGGTCGTCTGATAAGATGCTACATACACCAATATTTTCTGAAATGATGTCAAGGAATCGTTTTCAAGCTATCCTTAGGATGTTGCACTTTGCAAATAATGGCAAGAACGTGATAATTTTCATAAACTGCGAGATGTGCTTACTATAACATCAAAATTTCAAAAATATTTTACTCGTTTCCGAAACCTTGCTATTGATGAGAGCTTAGTACTTTTCAAGGGACGTTTATGATTCAAACAGTACATAAGATCAAAACGCCATCGCTTTGGGATTAAACTGTTTCTAATATGTGACTGCGAAACGGGTTATGTGTTGGGTGTACTTGTCTATCTTGGTAAAGCAACAGAGCTCTCATTGTATTACGATCTCGGTTTATCTGGTTCAATAGTAGCAAGTCTGATGAAGCCATATCGGGACGGTGGTGTAGCGGTCTATCGCGCTTATATTCATTTATAGGCAAGTTTATGAGTCTGAGACTGCTGGGTTTCGAATCCCAGACCAGACCATGTGGATTTTTAATTAAATTGCATGGTTCGGTTTAGGATTTGATGTGTGGCGTATTAATAGAAATTCAATTTCGGTTGATATGACATGCAGATTAAAAAAATTCGCCATACATTACCGTCTCGATGATGGTGGGTGAAATTTTCCGGGTTTCCTCACCTGTAAGTCAAATGGCACCATCAATCATCTTTAAGTCGCCCCGGAGCGCCACGGCAAATAATAATAATAGCCGTCCCTTCCCCTACACAAATCGTTCAGTCGACTTCAGGGGTTGAAATTCACTCGTAAGGGGGTGAATTAGAGAGAGTATTATTATTATTATTATTATATTTGAACAAAGGACATGCATTGTATACAGATAATTGGTATACAAGCCCTACTTTGTCTAATACCTACAAAAAAACAAGACTAATTCTTGTGGTACAGTTCGTACGAATCGTAAAGTAATGCCAAATTTAACACAAAAATTGAGTAAAGGCCAGACTGTGTCGATGAGTACTGAAAATCTGCTCAGTGTATGCATGAAGACAAAATGGTTACTTTGGACAAAGTCGATTTCAAGTCAAAGGAGCCTATAAAAAAACCAGCTTGTGTTGTAGATTATAATGCAAACATGGGTGCAATAGATCGAGCTGACATGATGCTAAGCTCCACGGAGTATAAGAAAAGCACAAAATGGTATTCGCTCCGTGCGCGACAGCAGCACCAATTCGTTTTGATACTAATGGACTATTTCTGCGTATACTGACAAATGCAACTTTTAATAGAATTCGTAATTAAAAAGTATATATGTTAGTTTTAATAAAAGTATATGGATTTGTAAAACAAGTAAAACATTAATTTATTATTATTATTATATATTTTTTTATCGCTTAAATTAAAGAAAATCATGTATAATCGATAAAATCAATAATAAAATATAGACAGGCAACAGTATTTACTGGAAAATGTATGAGAAGTTGCCTAAGTCTAATAAGTTTTCATTATTCTGTCAAAATAAAAAAATACCATTTAATAATAAGCGTGAAGTTAAAATGTATAAAAAAAGGATCATTACTTATATTTTCATTTTTGTTCGAAAGAAAACATAGAATGAATGATTTCCCATCAGTAAGTTACAAAATTGCATTCCAACCACATATAATAATCAAAGGCAGAAATATTGAAATCTAGTCCTTACTGAATGAACATTTAAGAATAAGGGGATATTAAAGAACATCGTAAAATGATAATTTATTGTTTATTTAAAACCTTTCAAGTTTCTGATGTCTACTATTTCCAGCATTACGGTTATTATTACAAAAATAAAGGTAATTTTTCTTCTTATTGTATATCTATCCATTTATTTCTTTGATTTAATTTCCACTTTGCTACTGAAATTTTTTATATAAGTTTCACTGTTTTTTGCTAGTATTTGTACAATTTTCAACACAGCAACTCCGGTTGCTTATTGTATTGTTTTTACCTACTTTTTTTGAAAAAAGTAAAATGTATACGTGTATTTGATATGCCAAAATTACAAAATATCGCCCTAAAATACACGAATTATCCGCAGCTAGCGCTAGTATCGCTTTTGCTTCCCTTTCCATGACTTCGCACGGAGCGAATAAGAAGCTATTTTTTCACATGGTTGATCTGGCTATGCTCAACACACATGCGCTGTATTTGACGCAATCCAGTACCTCTTGCAGATTTTCAACTAACACTAATTCGGAAACTTTTCGAGAAGTAAGTTTACTACATTGTCTCTCTTGTTTCAGATATAATGAACCCAAGGTACAACTCTTTCGCCCTTTGACTAACAATCCTCAGAGATTCACAGGCCGACATTTTCCAAGTTCAGTTCCCAATAAAAAGGTCAAACGATGTGTTGTTTGCAGCCACAGTGCGACAAAAAAAAAGAAGTGAAACCAGATACATGTGCGAAAACTGCGGAGTTGGAGTCTACCACACAAAAGAAACCTTTAAATTTTTTCACTAAAAAAGCTTTTTTATAGTTTTGCTACTATTGTAAAGTACATTTTTCCTCAATAAAACATTTTGTCGCATTTGTTTATCTTCATTTGTAGTAGACGTATATATACGGCGGCAAAAAAAAGGCTGGGCCTGAGGGACCATCATTTCAATTTAGGCCTGGGATCGAAAGGGTTAATAGACAGTACAATAGGAAACGACAAAAAGAAAACGGAAAGAGGAACAGTACAATACAATACATAAATTGCTGATGCAAAAGAAATAATGGACAATGGAAGATTCATTAGAAATGTAGCTGATCAACATTCTATAAATTTTATGATGTTACACAGGTACCGCAAAATGGTTAAATATAAAGGTATGTTTATTTTTATAAACATTGATCCATCTTATACATTTGCTTCAGGTTTCTTACTAAGCAGTACAGTCCTTCAAATGCTGGAGTTTGCAAAATCAATACTAAAGGTCGCAAATGTCGAAAAGCTGTAATTTTAAGAGATACTCCAAATAAAAATGAGTTATAGGCAGAAGAAGAAAGGAAATTAAGAAAAATACAGCCGCAAAAAAGGATACTAGAAAACCTCTTGAACGAGATGACGAATTATGTGATAATGTTGATGCATTGTGTTTAGTTTGCGCTGAAAGTTTTTGCCAAACCGGACGAAAAATGGATAAAATGCACAAGATGTCATGGATGGGCTCATGATAAATGTGTAGATACAGATTTATATTTTACTTCTTAAAATTGTGACTCAGATGATGATGTTTAAACTTTTAACAACTAACTCCAAAGATGTAATAACTCATCCCGCTGTGGGGTTGGTTGTTACCACTAGTATTACCTGTTAAAAAATGTTAACAGTTTATTTTGTAATTGATATTAATGAATGTTACTTTATTTTTTATTAAGGTATAAGTATGAATTATTATTATGCTATCACAATGAGTTTATTTAAAGTTTAAATAAATGACTATAAAAATGTTTAAGTTAAAATTGTAACAACCAACCTCGGACTACCCTATAAAACTTTTTAAAATACATTGGACGTTAACAACGATGTGTGAGTTAAATAATTTGCAATAAACAACAAAAAAAAAACGGCAAGGACGTTCTTGAACTAATTAAAAATAAAAACAAAAAAAAAAACAAGTTAATTTAAATATTTTTAAAAATATCAGACAATTTTTTAAATTGTTAACAATTTTTATGCAAACGATATTGGCGCGGCTGCCGACATATTACTATTGTACAATATGTTACTCTCTAACATTTTATAGTAGGCTCCTTTACTATAAGACATTCTTATCTTTAAAATTTTCGCGTTTTTTAATAAAATTGAAAATTTTGTTTTGTTTTTTATGGCTGGGAAGCCAGCGACACTTTTAGGGGTGTTATTTGCTTTAGGCAAAATTATTTTTCATTCATTCTTACCTTGTAGAACATGCAGTAGTGGAGCGCACGACGAATATGTCTTAGAAAAACCATTATAGAACATGCTAATGCCACATATTTTCATAAGATAATTAACATAGCTCAGGTCGTTAGCGCGCTCAACTTTGGATTCTGCGAATGGAGTTCAATTCCTGATTAATGCAATTTATTTTTATTATGGAAAAAATACTATTATTTCTGTTTATTTATTTTAAATAATTGTATTTATCAAAATATAACCTTTACAGTTAGGTAATCCGTTAATATTTCCTCTATTTATTTTGTACTCTTCTAAATCATTATCAAAATAGTGCAATAGAGGCAAGATTAACGGATCGCTTTACTGTAGGGGGTTATATTTTAATAAATGAAATTTATTTAAAAGAAATTAACTGTAATAGTCTTACCATTTTTCATATTGGAATTGAACCTGGGTCGCGAAATATTAAGTTGAGCGCGCTAACGAACTGAGCTATAAAGGTTTATTTATTTAATTTATTTATTTATTAATACATCCAACAGGCTTTATCAGCCCAATTACAGGAGTATATAATATATTTAAAAATACAAAGTTTGAGAATACTTACTTAACTAAATTACATTCTAATTACCTAATTTGATACCAATCTGTAACATTGCTCTCTAAATTGGTAAAATTTTAGAAAAAATATATCAACAGAATACTGATTGACACTTCTACACATTGTAGTTAAAGGACTGTGAAAGTGATGTTGTGAATTTGGCACTTGAATATGAAATGTTATATTTGACCTTGACGTAATACGTGGGATATGAAAATTAAATTGAGACAGCAGAGAAGATGAATCTATAGAATTATTAATTAATTTATAGATAAATATCAAATCTGCTATTTTTTTTCTTTTTCTGACTCATAAAACTGAATTCTTCTAACAATAAATTATAGTCATAGTGACAAATAGGATAACGGCCATGTTTTTTAAAGTAAAAAAATTTTAAAAATTTTCTCTGGACAGATTCTAATGCACTTATGTACTTTAAATGGTTAGTATTCCAAACACAACTGCAATACTCCAGTTTGCTACGAACTAGTGAAAAATAAACAGAGAAGATGGCTTCTAAAGATTTAAACTTTTTATAGTTTTTAATAACAAAACCCAAGATTTTTGGTGGCACTTTGTACAGTATTTTCAAAGTTAGTTTGCTGTCAAATAAGATACCTAAATCTTTGTAATTATATATCCGGGGAATAACAAGATTATCTAATTGATAATCATATAAGACAATGTTTACTTTCCTGGAAAAGGATAGGACTTTGCATTTGTTAGTATTCAAAGATAGTTTATTTACGATACACCAGTTATGTAAGTTGACAAGGTCGTTTTGAAGAGCAATGCAATCTGAGGTATCCTTTGTTTCCCTATAAATGTTCATATCGTCTGCAAACAAAAGTTTCTTAGAGTTGATACAATGACAAATGTCATTAATAAAAATAACAAATAATAAAGCACCCAAATTCGAGCCCTGAGGAACCCCTGACGTAGACACGAAATTAAAAGGTTTGGCACTCTCGTCAAGTTAATTATCTAATTAAATATATGACACTAGCATTTTCTACCATGACTTTTTGAAGACACTTCATCTAGGGCTCCACCTCTGGTGCGTCTGCAGCAAAGTATTTTCATTGGTTGGCGGAATTTTGTTCGAAACACGTTGTTCGAAAATTTTTGTTCAAAACAAGTTTGTTCGAAAACCCTTAGTTCGAAAATTCGTTTGTTCGAAAAACCTTAGTGCGAAAATATGTTGGTTCAAAAAAGTCTAGTTCAAAAACACTATTTTTCGAAAAATATTAGTTCGAACATTGTTTCGAAAATACTTTTGTTAAGATTTTTTTTTATTTTCTTATTTTATGTATAATTTTTTCGCGAAGCAACCTGCGATAACTCCAGGTCGCACAGGTTAGAAAAATTAGTTAAAATTTGTTTAATTTTTCTTATTTTGTTTATTTTTTTCTACGAAGCAACTCGCGATGACTCCAGGCCGCACAGGTTAGGTAAATTAGTTAAGATTTATTTTTAGTTTTAATTTGAACACTAAGAAAATACATCTATTTTCTTTAATAGATTTTACATTTATATTCAATCAAAAAATCGTTTTTTGTAATACTTAAAATAATATTTTTCGAAGAAAATTATTTTCGAACATAACATTTTGGATTGAAAGTATTTTCGAATAAAAGTTTTTTGTACAACCTCTCATTTGAACAAACGTATTTTCGAACTAAGGGTTTTCGAACAAACGTGCTTTGAACAAAATTCAATCAACCATTTTCATCTTCTACAAGGCAAGAAAAACTCTATAAATTTGTAAATTACCTTTGCGCAAATGTGTACCAAAAAAGTGTAACTGGTTCTTCTACCTACAAGATTGTAAAATTATTATTTTTTAGTTTAATATGGTCCCGATTATTTACTGTTTGAAAAACCAAAATTATAGAACCAAAATGTGAAAATAAGAATCTGGTTACCAGTTCAAATAAGGTATGGAAAATATAACATGTAAAAACGAAGGTAGACATTTTGAAAATGATATATTTCAATAACTTTTCGATGCAGACAACCAAATGCTTATTGTAACTCTACTGTCCAGCTAATCTCCATTAAAATCATCTCCGTATACTGCACTTATTACATACTTTACTCAAAAAGTTTGCATAAGTTAAACAAGGCCGAAATCTGTGTGGACCACATCACAGTTATTTTGTTTTTCTAAATTAGCAGCCATATTAAGTTCTACTAACGTATCCACGCTATTAATGCTGACTCCCTTCAAAATCTTCTGAGCCGCTAAGCTAGTAAAATTAAAAGTAAGGTCACTCAAACTGGGAAATTCTTGGTTGCTGTTTTCTCTGGTTAAAGTTCGTTCCTTAAAACAGATGTTGGGTTCTGATCCCATAACGTTTTTATCTAAAGTTTTGCCGTTTTCTAAACACTGAAATGATTTCTCCAAGGACGATTTAGACCCCACGTCGTTTTTCTGATATTTCATGGACGAGAACATCGGTATGCCTTCGTAACTTTTGGTCGGACTTGGTGGGGTGCTTGTAAATAAAGAATTTTTGGAGAAGTCTCGAAACGTGTTGGCTATCGGCGAGTCTGGGTTGGAATTTGAATTAACTTGATTATGTGAAACATTCTTGATGACGTTATGATAATTTAAGCTTTCTTTTGTAGGAAGTTGGAGGGATAATTTTCTAATGTTATTCATAGCTTCTAATTTTTGTTCATTGTTAATTGTATCTCTAGAGTTATTTAAACTTTGCTGGTTGGTATTTTTCGTTGGTTTGCTTTCGCATTTTTCGTTAGGATTCGATACATCATCTTTTTCGTTATTGATGATTACGACATTGGGGTTCTTCTCCATTTGCCCGTTTTCTAAGGTAATTATTGAGCGAACAGGTGAGTTTTGTACAAATATTTTCGTATTTGAACCGGGACTTCCGGTATACGTTGTTCCTCTTTGATTCGTTGTCACTTGTAACGTAAAAGAGTTACTGTGTGGTACCGATGTTGTTGTTGGTGTTGTTATGATGGTTGTTTTAGGACTTCCCTTACTTTTGGTATTTTCTTTTCTATATTTTCTGGGATTTCTAGGATCGATTTTCGGCGATTCTAGTAATCCTCTATTTATTACGGTTTTGTGTGATTCCAAACTAGATGGTCCACTAGTTAGAGAACTTCCTGTTTTGCTACTTTTATGCGATTCTATACTACTTGGTCCACTATTATCTATGCTAGAGAAATTCTTCACGGGAGAATCGGTAATTGAACTTGAATTGTCTTCAAAGCTTAAATTCGTTGTGGATCTATGACTAGTCGTAGTGGATTCCAAAGATGGTGTACAAAGTCTCTCATTGACAACATTTTGTTCTGAAAATTCTTGAGGTTTTTCTGTTCTAACATCTTGACTGGTTTGGGGTTTACTTAAACTACTTCTACTTGATTTTCGGGAATTATCCCTGCTCCTATAAACGTGTTTTCTTGGTAAAGTACTGGTAGCGTATGCGTTAATGTAACTAGGTATAGGCGAGTTTTCCCTGGATCCAGTTGTTGGAGTTCCAATCGTTAACTCTGTTGATAATTGCCTTCGATGGTTTCTCGGTAATGTTGCGGATCTAGATGAGCTTATGTTACATGTTTCCAAATAAGCCGTAACATCTATTCCACTTTCCTGAAATCAAAAGAATTCGTGTTAAATATACTTATGGTCAAGGCTTGAAGAAAACCTTATGTGTCTTTAGGTACCATGTAGCTAATCCAAAAGTGTGGAGTGCCAGATCTTGGAGAAATCAATCATCCAATAAGTGAAATTGGGATACGTTGTTCCTCTTTGATTTGTTACTTGTAATGTAAAGACTATGATGTGTATTACCGATATTGTTGTTGGTGTTATTACAATGGTTTTAGAGCTTTCTTTGCCAATCCATACTGTTGTATTGGCTACATGGTACCATGGATCATGTTAAGACACTTAGGAATGTTCCATAAAGTCTTATTTGAAGGCGATTATGAAAATGTTTAGATGTTAACCCTTCTCGTTTTTCAGCTGGTCTATAATTTTATATTTTTTGTAAGTATTAGCACTATTTTGTATTGTTTGTTTTTTTTTAAAATTATATATACCTGGTGACAATGAGACCGGGGCCACGACAATATCTTTTATTTATGAATGAATTTGGATTTGGGACGAATGTACTAGACATAATTTCGAATCGACACTTATACTTGACACTTATATAAAATGGTCGACTTCCGGTTTTACCGAAATTGCGAGTAGGTTTGAATTTTAAAATAGATCACCCTATATATTTTGTTTTTGTAAGAAAATAAAAACATGTTATTTATCAAAATATCAATTCTTTTAAATGATACCCATTGTGGTCTATTTCGCCATTATATGACATAATAAAAGCTTTTGATGGTGTAAATCATAAGATATTACTGAGTAAGTTAAAAAAATATGGCTTCAGAGGAACTGCATTAAATTGGTTTGGGTCATATTTGTTAGGTATGTATCAAATAGTATTTTTGAACAAGCACATTTTCAAAAAGTGTCTTGTTCAGTGTGCTATTCCTCAAGGATCTGTTTTGGACCCCCTTCTTTATTTTAATGACATGGCAAATTTAAGCATCGGTAGAGAATTCACAATTTTTACAGACGACACCAATATTTTATGGCATGCCACAAATTCAACAGTTTTATCTAAAATAATTAATTCCAATATAATCAAAATAAAAATTGGTGCGATGCTAGCCTTCTCTCTCAAAAATTAACAGCTATCCGTAAACTAGAACAAATTCAAAAAACAGCATGTCTCAACATAACAGGAGCCATGAAAACAACACCGACCAGAGCCATGGAAGTCATTCTTAGTCTCACTCCCCTTGATATTTACATCAAGGAGGTTGCTCTGACGACAATGACATGCCTCCACACGGTTGGAATAGAACCTGATGTAGGATCTGATGAAGTGAGACGTCGCTTTTGGCAGGAGGCGCTCGATACGCTCCCACTGCTTCAAGCCAACATGGACTCCATCTCACCGAGATATATCTTCCATAAGCCACATAAAGTTATAATAGAACAAATAGAAGAGCCAGAAGTGGCAAGTATGATTCATATCTAAACCGACGATTCTAAAACAAAACAAGGCTCAAGATGTAGAACATACTCCAGTTTCTTAAACCTAAACATAAAATGGGCTGTGAGCAATAGTGCCAGTGTAGTTGAAACAGAACTAACAAGGATTCTCATAGCATCAAAAGAAATAAACAGAAACAATATCACTGGAAGGAACATGCTCATCTATACAGAGGCAGACAAGCACTACTCACCCTGAACAGACTACGGATTTAGTCAGGGTTAGTACTAGAATGTCACGAAGCTTTGGCCGAAATATCCATCAACAATGTGGTCACCTTAAGATGGATCAAAGGTCACGCCACATCGAAAGGTAACTATCTTGCTGATTCACGAGCCAAGACAGCAGCTAACCAAATACTTTTCGGACCTGGCCCTTCTATTGGCCTGACAAAATCGGTGGTGACGGACCTAATTAAGGAACATTCCCTTGTGAAATTCAAGGAAAGATGGGATGATACAAGAAACTGAAGTTGCCAGGAAGCTCTTAAGTTATCCTGACAACACTGCAGCAAACAAATACTTGACTATGACTAGACAGAATCTGCGCCTAGTCACAGGCATTCTGACTGGTCATTGCCAAGTACGGAAACATCTCCATATCATGGGGCTGTCAGAACCGCACTCTGCAGAGAGTGCGAGCAAGAAGATGAGACCATCGAACATATCCTTTACGATTGCTCGACGCACTCATTTATTAGAAGATTTGTGTTCGGCGAGTATCGGCTAACACCGGCCGATATAAGAGAAGCACCTCTTGGCGACGTTGTCAACTACATTAAATTTGTAGGCTGGCTTACGAGCTAGGAGGTGCCTACCATCTTAGGAGGATGCACAATGGGCCTAATGAGGCCTAAGTGGCGTGGGGTAACCCACCTTCCACACGTTACAGATACGGATAGTCTTCTCTCTTTCAATATTTCCAAAATGAATATAATGACTTTTAAATGTCAATTATTAGATGTTTATTTTGGAGGAAATGTTATTGATAACAGGTAAGAAAATAAGTTCTTGGGGCTTCATATTGAGTATTGAGTCTGATTTAAAATTTGGTAATCATGTAGATAATTTATGTATGCATTTATCTTCAGAATCGTTTTAAGCACATTTCAGTTTCTTAGTTTTTGGGGATTGTGTTCTTTAGAATTAATTATTATGATATTTGTTTTTCAAAAAAGAGCTGTACGTTATTTATGTAAAGTTTCTGCAGAAACCTCATGCAGACCTCTATTTTTATAGCATAAAATCTTCACTATAATAAATTTGTACATTTTTGAGATACGTTTGCTTGTATTTAAAAAATACAAAAGTGATATATGTATATTATCGAATCACAATACCAGATTAATTTATTATATACCATTGTCAATACCAACCGCTAACCTCATTGTCCTTAGTATATAATGAAAAAAAAAAATCAATCACCTGTCATTTGAATTAAAACAGACTGAAAATGATAAGGCCTTTTGGAGAGAAGTGAAGAATATACTAGCTAAGAAAACTTAATATATTCTTTAATAACTCATTATAACTGATTTATTTAATTTTATATATCTTGTCTTTTATTTGTTTTAACAAATGTTGTCTGACTGGATATTTTATTTCATACCTTTTATTTTGAAACAACTGTTTTATTTGTTTAGTATTTCATATTTCTACAGCTTTGTCAACAATATTTTGTCTTTGAAAATAAAGCCTTTTTTTGATTTTATTTGACTGATAATGCGACCCTCGTCTTATCATCCGGTATATGTCCTAATAGACATTGTCACATGTTTTGCAAACAATATTTTTGTAACAATCACATGCTCTGCAATTGCTATATATCACATAAGATAAGCCTTTGTGATTTTAATGATTTTTATACTTCCATTGCCGATGAACAAACTTCAGGCATGGTTTCAAAACATGACCCATTAAAATATATGAGGGACATAAATATAAAGGAAGACTGTCATATAAAGAATACGAATATCTGTGAAACAAAACAAGAAAGGATGGGAAAATCTTCCAGAATGCCTTTTATACTTTGTTTGAGGCAATTAATGTATCATTTATGAATGGGACTTTTCCAGCATTTTTAAAGAGAGCAATCATCATACCCTTACATAAGATTGGTAGTCTGGAACACCCCTCTAACTTCAGGTCCATATCTTTACTTCCTACATTATCTAAAATCATAGGAAGGCTTGTTAAGACTCGAATTATTAAATTTTTTCTGAACATATTTTATCTATTTGTCAGTTTAGGTTCCAAGCATCAAAGAACACTATATTTTCTCTTCTGGAGAAAGTCTACATTAGCTTAAATTAAGGGGATATGTTAGCAGCCGTCTCTTGTGACTTTCTGAAAGCCTTCAATTGTGTTAGACATAACATACTTTTGGAAAAATTGTACTTGTACAGTTTCCATAATTTAACACTAAATTGGTTTAAAAGTAACTGATCAAATCGAACACAAGCTGTAAAGATGGCAGTAGTATTTCGAAAAGCTCAAAATTTGGAGTTTCACAAGGATCTGTTTTAGGACCAGTTCTTTTCAGCTATACATTAACGATTTAACAAAAATTCAAATATCTGGAAACTACAATATTTTCTGATAATACCACAGTTCTTTGGAATGGAAAAGATGCTGAAGATCTTGAAAACGATATTTCATGTGATCTCAAAACGAATGTTGGTTTATTCTTTAAACTGTACTTAAATAGATATACCTTACAAAATTTCAATACTTAAACTTGATTCCACCACTATTCTTTCAAATATCTAGTGTTTCGATTATATAGATATTATACTATAGTCTAAATGTTATAACTATTCTAAAAAGAAAAGATAATTTCTATACAGTACCTTATTGCCTGTAATCGTTTGAGTTCCTACACTGTGCAAGTGTACTGCCTTGGAATTAAACCATTCAGTTGGAGGGAATTGAGCGCCGAAAGTACCAATCTGACACTGGGAACGTTTCGATCTTCGGAACAATCTTGACAGCAATGACGCTTTTTCTAGAAAAAGATTAGTCAGTTAAAATAAAATTAAAAAAAAAAAAAAAAACTAAGAACTAACGAGTATTTTTATATAAGAGGAGATAGAAGAAGAATCTGTAAAAACAAAAATCAAAATATCAGTGATGAATGCACAAGAACTCATTGTATTTAAGCCCGGAGGCCCTGGAGTTACATATTTATACATTGGAGGATTTAGGGCATATTAAATGTTATAAATGTTATAAATGTTACAAACTTTCTCTAAACATGAAAAAAAACTAAATATATAACTTTTTCTCCCACCATTACAGATCAGCCTAAAATTTTTAATATTAAACAGCATAAACCATCTTGTGTTGCTGCCAATAATTGTTACCGATTCATAATTGAAAAAACCAAATCTCTCAAGTACCTAGGAGTTATTGTTGATTAACATTTAAAATGGGTAGACCACATCAACTATGTTTCTAAACGACTAAGAATTTTAATACACAAATTTTATGAATTACGGGACATCCTAACGAGAAAAAATTAATGATTTTGTACACAGCTCTTGCTGAATCTATAATTCAATACTGCATCCCAGTATGGGGTGCAGCATTCAAATCAACTCTATCACCATTACAAATTTCACAAAATATTCTTCTTGAAATAATTTTTAGAAAGAGTTTTCATTCCACAAATCTTTTATATCAAGAAACTAAATTACTAAATATTCACTTAATATATGTTTACAACTGCCTAACCAGGATGCTCCATGATTCATCAAAGTTCACTACCCTGAATCATCAGAGGGATACTCGGTCAAAAACTAACTTTGATATTAAAACTGAACTTTTTCATAAAACTTTTACCCAACATTCCTTTATGTACTATGGACCTAAATTATTTAACAAGCTTCCAAAAAGCCTAAAACTAACAACAAAATTTAATTTTTTTTAAGTAAAAAAATATTGATATATTTAACATCCCTTAAGGGGTGGGTGGCTCAGTGGTAGAGCCTCTGCCTGTGGATCCAAGGGGTTCTAATCCCACCGTTGGCCGGGATTTTTTATTTAATTTAAATTATTTAAAATTAATTCTGATGCCTTGGTAGGATTCCCCACTAGACCATTCATTGTTGGGTTCTAATTAACAGTGCTGTTCCTAAAGTGGCGCTGGGAAACAGTAACAAAGCATACACAGAACACGAGGCTAATAACCTTAGTAGTTGATGCCGATAAAAAAAAACATCCCTTAACATCCCTTGTTCGACATAGTTTGATCATAAGACATGTAGTGATATTGGCTTAGTCTAAAACAAACTGACGCCCAAAATTATTTAGTTCTTTTTATATAAGAGAAGATGGAAGAAGAATCTGTAGAAACATAAATCAAAATATCAGCCTTGGATGCACAATAACTCCTTGTATTTAAGCTTAGAGTTACATGCTTATACACTGAAAGATCAGGGTTTATTAAATGGTATGAGCAGGAGTTTTCGTTGTCTCAATTCGTTCCTAATATTTGTTCAATTTAGGTAACAGTGATTTTGGCTTAGTTCAAATTAGACTGGCGTCCATGATTATTTAGTTTGAATACAGTAGGTCTGGTACTAAACTTTCTTTCTCAATTCAGAGCGAAACCGGCTGCCAACGCCTGTTTATCAGACAGTTGAGACTTGTGGTGTTATCTTTGAACGTCATAAATTGTTATATTTGTCTTTGTTTTTAATTTAGTGGTAACAATTGGACAAAAACGTAAATTGCATTCTGCGGGTAAATTAACATCTGCTCCCATCCTTCAGAAACAAGCCTGTTATTACTGTTTTTACAGATAAAAACATTTATTTATATGATTATACTAACTTGGAGTGGGGGTTGATTCACCACTATTTGGATATTCGGTACTACTACTAGTATCTACATAATGCTTAGCTAACGTTCTTGTTGAAGCTGATCTTCGAAGCCTCCTGCTAGAGTTCCAAAGACGAAACGATCCTCTTCGGTCTGGGCTTCTGTGAGAAGGAAAAGAAGAGGATCTTCTTTTGTTCCTGGCGTAAAGAATCTTGTCACTGGCATTTCCTATAATAAAATATTCAGAAAGATATAAAGGTATAAAACATATAATATAATAAGTCAAATGTACCTCCACAAATAACATCGGCTAGATTGGTTTGTATGCATTGATGGGTAACATTTCCATCTCTAATGGTAGCCATATCTCCGTGGACCATGATGACAGCTTCTTCTGTGGACATCAGCATAGTTTTGTTGGTCATAGGGTCAATGCTCAGATCATCCCTTTTCCTTCCTCTAGATTGACTTCTTGACCGTCTACGCCTTTAAATACAAACATAATTAGGTCTCAGAGGTTAAAAAAATAAAATCTGGTATGTCCAACACATGAGTTTGCTGTCTAGTTATTACAAACTTTTTCGGTTATTTTGTACAATCTACTGTATCACCCCTGTAAATTAAATACATTCATTTTCCACACACATATTACTCGAAACATTTTTTATATATATTCATTGTTAACGAAAATAAATTTAAATTTTACACATTTCCTCAAATTTTTCCATTACGGTCCATTTTAGAACAAACAAATTATAGAGAAAGATATCGCAAACAACTTTTGTTACAAGACTGTTCTTTTTCAATCATAAATAACAGAGATAGGGGTCTATTCTGTAACAATTCCTTTATATTTAACGGCCTTTAAAAATATTGGCGGCCTTTAAAAACATTTTCGTATTCGTTAATTTACTTAATGAAGAAAATATTTTTAAAGGCTGTTAAATATAAAGGAATTGTTACAGAATAGACCCCATATTCATTAAAGTAAAAAACCGTCACCCTTTAAAGTACCCCCCTGATGCTACAATATGCCCAAAAATTAATTAGTTCACCGCAAGATGGATTAAAGTTTAAGTTTCAAATTTGGTGATTTTCTCTTTATCCGTTTGGAAGTTATCTTCAAAATTCTAAATTTGCACTTTTCCTTAAATATCTCGAATACTGTCCATTTTAAGGAAATTATGTATAGGACGAGAATTATAGAGAATGACATCACAAGCAATTTTTACTCAAACAATTTTCCTAAAAATTCGAATTATGCACGTTTTGTCAAATCTCTCGAATATGGACCATTTTATAAAAATTTTTCGAATATGCCCAAAATCTATTTGCATACAGACAGAAAAGTAAAAACTCTAGAGATATTAAAGATGGACCAATATACCTGGATTCTCTACCCCTAACTAACAAATGTTGATTTATTTATAATTTTCATCTTACTGCTGTTGCTCCCACAATTAAAAAAAAAATAAGAAATTTGAAGACTTGAATTACATAGAAAAAAAAAACAAGTAAGATAAATTGACTTTTACAAGCTTAGGTTTAGTTGAAAAAAAAAAACAAAATATAAAAACTTTGACAAGAGAAAAACATTGAGGGTATTTCTGGCTAAATCAGAAGTACAGTAACAGCAAAAAAAGTTACATTATATGTATCAAGCAAAATTTCTTCAATATCATAGTTTCCATTTTAAAGATATTAGCTTGGTTCCATACTTTACCCCAACCCTGTATATAAATCTACAGTTTACTAAAAATCAGGCATCAAAATCTACTTACTCTGGAGTCACAATGAAATATCCACTTGACGTATTATACAGTTTCCTCTCTTTTGTAAGTTGCACCAAGGTATCATACAGGGCTTGCTCACTAGGAGGAGATACATGGGGGAAAGCCATAATCAATGATTCCCTGATAGTTTCGATTCCAGCAGGCCTACCCTGGCTGGAAAGCCTTAAAACCACTGAGCACACTGCTTCTGGTAGAGGAGTCCATTGTGTTTGTGGCACTGGAATCGTAGTAGACTGTTCGATGTCTTCTGTAATTGAAAGACAATTTGATTAATACTGATAATTTGAAAGAAGTTTGTTAAATAATACTCTAGCCCTAGATGAAATGTAAAGTTATCAGGTCACTCTGGTAACATGGCCATTGAATTCTCGTGTTCATCAAGCTCTTCATCTTTGACCCTCCAGATGCTTCTTCAATCTCACTCCTGATCATATGCCACTCCTTCAGCTCCTCATCTTCTTCGAGTCTCTAGAGACTTTTTCAACGTCTGCTAGCTGAAGAATTCGAACATGAGAATTATGTGGCCATGTTACCAAAGTGATCTGAAAACCTTACATTTCATTTACTACTGTAAACACAGTAAATCTTTCTATTTTCTTAATACTATAGTTCCTAAATTGAACAAAGAGCAGGTATTAACTTAAGATACTCTGTTATGTTGCTAGAACAAGGCTCAATATGTCTAGGTAAAGGATTTGAAACTTATTTTTCTAAAATGATTTAAAAAAACATTTATTTAAGACTCTATTGGGGATTGTGATTTAGTTTATATATTGGGTTTGTTTTTAATTATTTATAGCTTCTTCATCTAATGCTATTAAATAAGTAATAAAAAAAGAAAACTCATACATTTTAATCTTACCTAAAGCTACTATTTGGTACCCAGGGGGAGGTTGAAGGACTCTTCTGGACCAAGCGTTCCTTAAAATTTCCAAAGCACATGGTTCTGCTGCAACAAGAAGTGCACCAGGATTTACGTACCCATAATAAACTAAATTTTTTGTAGCTCCATTTAAACCGTTGTTCCACCAACAAATTGAATTTGATGAAAGTAAACCCTGTAACAATTAAAAACAATAAGTATTAGGTCAAATATATAAAAGTTTCTAATAAAAAATTACCCATAAATAAGTAATGGATTGTAGTCATTTTTTAATGTCATTTTTTGCATTTTGTTTAACTTCGGTGCACAAATTAGTATAGAAAACAGTATAGAATTAGTATAGAAAACAATCAGCAAAAGATGAAATGTTGGCATTAAAGCCATGCAAGGAGTTTATATAAATGAAAAATGATAATGGCCCTAGGACTATGCCTTGGGGTAAGCCATTAAACATTTTTTCATCCTCACTGAGTTCATTAAGAATTTTACAAATTGTGTTCTATTTTCAAGGTAAGATTTGAGGAGATCTAAAGCTATTCTCCTAATATCCAGTCATTCTATACTATCAAGCCCTAGATTTTCCTTTATCCACTAAATAATAAACCTGATTCGGTAAAAATACAGTTGCATATTTAGTAGACTTCTGAGGTCCGATACCAAATTGGTTTTCAGAAATTATAATATTTTTGTCTATAAATAACGATAAGTCAAACCTTCATTATTTTCTCTATTATTCAGATATTTCTTTATTGTCGTTTTTTTATTAAACACTGGTTTGATAATTATTGCAGTTTTGAGTAGTTCCTTTTCAAGAATTATTTGCTGTATGTACTGAAGGCTAAAAACGTATTTACAAAAAAAACTTTAGATGTTTAGCTCGGTTTAGCTGTTCTATTCCAAGACATTAAAATAACTTTTCAGATTTTGTATTAATTCACCATCACGGTAAGTTTAAAAATTTTGACACATTTGAAATTTGTTTTTTATTTAATGGCCTACTATGACGATATAACATATTATATTTTGTTTATTAATGACTTATAATTTGATTTTTCTACACACTTTTATATAATCAAAAATTCTTTTCATCTTGTAGATCCTAATGCATTGACCATAAATTGACCAGACGACCTCAGAATATATTATCTATCTTAGCAGAGGATGTTGCTGTAACTATAGCGGTTTCTTGTCTAGAAGAACTAGAGTTAGGTTTTTTCATTACATTAATTAATGGTAAATTTTAATCCCAATTTGGAAAAATCTGTTTTCTTGACATAGAATGCCGCAGAAAATCTCTAGAGTAATGCAACCGTATCCCATTGAATACTAATTACTTGTAGTCTCTTGAATACAGATACAGACAATGAGGTAGCAGTCTGGGCTAATATAAAAGCTTTTTATGTTTTCTCAAACTGAATTGTACCAAAGGTATAAACTTTAAGAAAATATTATCACACTATTTTGTAATTAAAATATATTCATGAAATAAACTGTAATTGAAAGGAAGGTGAATATCCTTAATATACCTTTGATGAAGCAACTTAAATTAAATGCAAATTTTTAATTGGAATGTTTTTAATTTGTTCACGAGTTAAATTGTTTTATACAACTTCCTTTACCTGTTTTTTAACCTTTCACCTTCGCGTTTGTTTAAATGAAGTGTTTTGCAGGTAATCCAAAGAAATGTTGGTGAAGAATCCAGAAGCACAAATTTCGAAGTTTTATCACTAGATTATTGAAGTAACTTATTATTTATATATTTTAATAAAATTAGATACGGAAAAGTAGGTATGTTTCATTTGCAATTTTTATTTATAATATTAAAATTACATTATTTTCACTTGATTTTCACTGTTTAACCTAACTTTTGACATAATTTTCTGTAACAAAACAAAAACAAAACTTTATGGCAACCCTGTAGACCTGTTGTCTTTGACAGGGTCAATGATAAAAATATACATAGATTGCTCAAAGCGAGTGCTCATTAATCAGAATCGGTTTAGTAAAAATGTGTTCTAGGGTGAGATTACAGAACGTCTGCAACTTTGCAGATCTGCAAATATGGCGGCAACTTTGAAAATCTGCAAATATGACTGACTTACACATGCAAGTATCAAGTTTTCGTATTCCAAATTTGGGTTTAGTGTTGTTGGGGGCAATAAACCACAATAAATATTGCGAATTTGCAGATATTTTTTGGAATACTTACATTTGTAAGTCCGCCATATTTGCAAAGTTGTAAGTAACCCATTACGCACGAAATGAAAAAATTTACGCACGAAGCCGCGCAGAGGCGAGTGCGTAATGGGCTTACAACTCGTGTAACGTACTATACTTTTTCTACGCCCACTTAAAACATTTTCAAAAATGGATTTAACGTTATGCTTGTGTCGCCAATCCATAAATTTTCGATAGGTAATTTCGTACCTTTCTTTGGATTTTAGCGGTAACAAATTATGTGTGGCAGCTTGAGCTTTTTTTTCAAATATCCGGTGGAAGGCTCATAATTCCATCAGTTTCACTGCTAACAAACACATTCGTAGGTAAAGTTGAGAAAATGTTCAGATACAATCATATTTTGTTACAAAAATTGAGAATTTAAATGTATAATATGTTGCCGACATTTAGGGGCAGCACTCTTTTAATCGAAAATGTATCTCGCTAAATGCTAAAAGTTTTTATGTTTTTAAATTGAATAAATTTATGTAAATAAACCAAATAAAGTATTACGTAGATAAAAATTTGATTGTAATTTGATTAAACTAAGAAATTTAAGTTTTCTTATCAAAACGCACGTGTATGTTATGGGATCTCATTACGTCCATGTTATTGTTAAATGTCATTTACCAGGAATGTTGACAGTGCGATTTTTAACGTTTACTGACATGGGCGTAGAACAAACCAATTTTCAGCCCTTGATTATAGTAAATAAATAATAACCTACATTTTTTCTTCAGCTTGTTTATTTTAAAAACCATGGATGATCAATCTATATACCTAACTATAGCATTGATCCTGTCAAATTACCAGGCCCACAGGGTTGCCATATCATCTTAACCCACGGTTCCCAGACAACAGTGGCCTTATCACCGGTTAATCACGGTTGCTAAGGACGCAGTGACGTGACAAAACGAAAATCTAGCTGAGAGAAAATATTCTACTTGGGGTCGTACATTAGGTTTTTTAAAAATCTAATATTTTATTAATATTAAGTGGTGTTTATATTTTTATTTTTGGACTATATTCCTGTGCTGGAGTTTTTATAAAATCGGTAATTTGATTTTTTTACAAAACGGCATGGAAAAATCATGTAAAGATTTTCATCAAATTTCAAATAAATTACGTTTTTTTAATTATAAAGAGAAATATTATTGTGTGAATGGTTTATGGCCTCCGAGCTAAATTCGGATCACATTTTGTTTATATTCTAAAATATTTTGAAATTTTGGTAAGCCTGGCGCCAGCCGTTGTGTTGCTGTTGGCAAAGAATTTTATACTTTTGACACCCAAAACAATGACTAAATCATTAGAAGGCTAGTGGTAAGATTTTAGAGCATTATTTTGCAAATATAATTAATTCACTATTATTGAATTAATTGCAGCTTTTGTCTACCCTGCATTTAAAAGAAAATGAGATGGTTTCTTACCAGCATTAAACACAAAGAAAAGCAAGAAAAGTCAAAGGTCTTTACTAAAGAACCTACATATTATTGAAAAAAGGGTTTGCTATAGGAAGTTTTTATAGTCCGTCAGATAGTGACAGGTTTAGGTGCCCCATTTTCGCATACAAGCCTCGAAGAGGGTTGAAAAGTACATCGATTTTAAGTAGAATGAAAGGAAATTTACGAGTAGCTTCTGGAGATAACACATGGTAAATTCGATTTTCCCTAACAAAAACGAAAGGTTATTTGTTGCCCATTGTTCCAATTAAGCCGTTTTCACTATATGATTAATTAATAGAACTAGGCTTCGGAAAACCAAAGGCTTTAATGTAGCAAGTGGCTAAAGGGTTGAAATAAGGGCGTAATCTTTTGAGGAAAAATCGTGATTTTGCCCGTTTTTTCCACACAAGTCCATCGAATGTTTCAAAACGTACGTCGTCACTAGTCCGAAAAACATATTTTCTTGAATGAACCGAATGTATAACTGCATTTTGGGGTCGAAAAATTTTTCTGATAAGGAAAATAGAATTTTCCATGTGTTATCCACAAGAGCCACTAGTAAATTTTATTTATTCTACTCAACATCGATGTACTTTTCATCCCTCTTCGAGGCATGTATGCGAAAATGGGACACCTAAATCGGTTACTACCTGACGGTCTATTAGTAAAAAGTAGTTACAAATAATTTTGTAATTATCGTACAAATACGATAATTATCGTACGTCTGACAACTCTGGAACAATTCAATGAGGTGTTCTGTGCTTTTCTAATGTTTGAATCTAGTTGCCTATGATTTTCAAATATGCAATGAAAAAATACTTGGATATTATTAAAAAATGGTGGCTACCTGTAGTGAAGTGAAGAAACTTAAAAAAAAAGAGTGATTTATCTTAAAGTGCTATACCTAAATATTCAAAATTATTATTTCTAATTCAAGTAAGTTTATTAGGCATTAGTTTTAGATATTGAAACAAAATATTTGATAAAGGTTTAGCCATAAGTGTACCATTGTGATTGATTACTGAATGAATAAATCTAACAACATTGGTTTAACATTTTTAGATTCACAATATTTCTTTGTACTTATTCAATGCATTTTTATTAGTATTTTTTTTTGCTAATTTACTCTCTAATATTATTTCTTGCTATAAATTATAATTCGAGAAACGTTAAATTAGAGGTTCCCATCTTATCGAAACCGAGGCCCCAAGAGCATAAAAAAACGATTTGATTTTGAACGTAAGATTGAAGGACAAAGAGAAGTATTAAGACTTGAATTTTCAGGTTTGTGGAGCATTAGCGTTACTAAAACTAAATCAGTAGAGGATCTTCATATTGTTAGGCCCTTGATTACAACGTACATGAGAAAAAATCGTGTTTTGTTCAGGCAAGAAACCTATAAACCAACTTTGTTTTTGTATTTGCCCAATTTCTGTTCAGGACAAAAACATATAACTCATAAACTATATAGCATTTTATTTGTTTAATTTAGTAAATCGGGATAAAATTTAAG